ATTCTGAAGCGGATGACGACCCTAGGCAGTGGCGTTCCTAGCCCATTTTGCGCCCGGGGCAGAGGACGGGAATGCGCCCCCTTCATGTCGATTTTTTTTTCTACAGAAGACGACGGATTGAGTTTTCAGTATACTTTACATATACATCTTTACATTTATTGTTCTGATCTCTTCACTCTGTTTAAACTTAAAACATTCGAAGGTTCCGAATTACCACGTATCACAATATACCACATGTTTAAAATACGACTTTTCGAGCCTTCACCGAAGCGAAGGTATCGATTAAAGATTCGAAGTCGGTGTCCTCGGTGACTTCTCTCTCTATGCTCATGATAGAGAGATCAATCAGTCTGTCTTGCCCCATTGACGCTCGGAGGTATGATAGGATGAGCTTAAGCTTGCTGAAGGATCGCTCGCAACTGGCGATCGAGACGGCAATCGTCAGTAGTATTGTATCGCTACCCGAAGATTGGGGAAGACACTCTCGTCGCCGTATTCTATGATGAAATTGAGGAGTTCTTCGGGTTTCCTTAATCGTAACTCCTCCCGCACGCTGACTAACATCCTACAATCACATATCTCTCTGTATAAGTCGTTACCGTCGACATCATCCGAATACATATTCGCAAATGACAAACAATCGGACCTCAATTCGTTCAGCTGGCCTTGTAGTAGCCGCTGAGTGTCGAGAAGGAACCCGAAAGTATTGTCTAGGTTTGTCAGTCGCTCGAACCTTTCTCTCATTTCTCGCTGAAGCCGGTCGATCGTTGAGTACATAACACGGCGCATTTCTTGTATAGCGGAGATTTCAGAGTTTCGGTGTTCATCTGGCATACTTCTTCTTCTCCTATTGCGTTTCTCGAATGCTACATCGTATTCATCGCAGAGGCATTGGCCATCAGTGATGGCTGCGTCTACGAAATCGCATCCTTCTCTGGAGAAGGTGTTCTTCAGAGACGACAGATCATTGGCAGCTTCATGGAAATTCATGGAGGGATCCTGGAGTCTCTTCTGGACCCTATCGACTCTGCTCAGGAGGTTATTCCAGAAGCCGTGAAGCGTCAAGAATTCATACGAGACCATGCGGGTGAATAACTGACGTGCCTCACTTCTAGTTTCTACCGAGTCGCAGGAGTCATCAGACATTTTATCCAGGAGATCGATAATCTCCCTGACATGCGTGCTGACTACTTTGACAGCATCGCTGCGAGAGCTCCATCTTGTTTCAGACTCGCGTTTCAGTCCGACGGGGATCGTCTTTTTCAACTTCTCCCATCGCAGAGTCGAACGGGAAAAGAAGGCGTACAGGGCTTCAATAGTCGCGAAGAAGCTAATCATTGCTGGTTCACTGCGGGCAGAGTGCAAGCCGGCTAGATTGAGGGAATGATTATCACAATTCACGAATAACGCTAAACCATTCTTCTCGAGCAGCCGTTGATTCACACCGGAGCGGTGACCGGCCATGACGGCGGCATTGTCATAGCATTGGGACCGGCAGTTCCCGAAATCCAGCTTGTCGTCCTCAAGTTTTTCAAGATCGTCGCTACCAATGCCTCAGCATTCTTTTCATGTACTTGAACGAAGCCGAGGAAAGACTCCCTGACCTGAGCTTTTTTCTGTTCATAATCAACGTCGACATATCTCAACACGAACGAAAGTTGCTCTCTGTGAGCAAGATCGGGTGTGGAATCCACGAGAATCCCGTAATATTTGGCCTTTCTGATTTTTCTCAGGAGTTTTTCCTTCACTTGTCCTGCCATGAGATGAATGAGCTCATTCTGCGTTCTAGACCCCAGATAGGACGTCGAGCCCGGATTTCCCCGAGAGCGAGTCATGTGGTCCTTGATGATTGGGTCGAAGTTTGCGACGAGCTTCATTAGGCCGAGAAAATTCCCGATATTACCCACGTCTTCGCATTGGTTTTCCCGGTGGCCTCTGAGTGGCAAATTCTGTGTAGCCAGGAATTTGATGCAGTGACTTATTCTGCTGAGAACATACCTCCATTTCTGTTTCTCGGTTGCATACACTGATTGCACTTCGATATCGATAGCGCTATTAGTTCTCAGATTTCTTTCGAGCTCTTTCCAATCAGCGAAACAGGCTCTATGAGACGGAGCATTTTCATGAGCATCCATCCTTTCTATATTTTTCCACTTCGTGAATCCTTGGGAGGACGTCAGTGCTGAATTGTGTCCATCAGCTCTGGCGAAGAGAAGGCAGCAGAAGCAGTAAGCTGCGCCCTTCGTTGGAGAGTAGACGAGCCATGTGCGGAGAATCTTTGTGCCGAGGCCATTTCCCAACCTTTTGTAGAACCACGATTGAGTCATGCATCTCCGCCGCGTCGAAAAAAAGGGCCGTTTCTGTTCTGAAAGTACTCGCTCCCTAGGGTCACCATCTCAACTCTTAAACTATCGGAGACGGTGACTTTTCCGGAATTCGAGTGAAACTCCAGTAGCCCAAGATCGTGCTCGGCGATAGCTGCCGGTGTGGATGAGACATTGGTTATGAGTGAGTCTTCCGGAGCGTTCACTGATGATGCTGTGACACTGGTATCCCGGGAAATTTCTTCCGAAGTCACTGGGTCTGAGTCGCCGTCATAAAGAGAATCAGTCGGGGGTCGGCGGTATTTCATGGCCATCACGAAGAGATTCAGTCGGAGTCGACGGTATTTCATCGCGAGCACGAAGAGAATCAGTCGGAGTCGACGGTATTTCATCGCGAGCACGAAGAGATTCAGTCGGAGTCGACGGTATTTCATCGCGAGCACGAAGAGAATCAGTCGGAGTCAACGGTATTTCATCGCTATCACAAAGGGATCAGGGGGATCGGTGGTACTTCATCGTGATCAAATGGGGTTCCCGGCGGAAGAGTTTGCGGTGTTGTCGATTTATTCCGAGCTAAAAATGACAGGAGAACCTTTCGACTTTTCTCCGTCTGTCTATGGATCGATTTTCCTTCGTTTTCGGCCCTGAGCTCCGCTTTCCTTAATACCATTTCGTTTCATGTCTATACTTCAGTCTGCAAAACAAGCTAACATGAGAGCTTCGCCGTGACTCGAGTCATGGATTTGGAGCTTCAATTTCATCGGAGAAGTCGCAGAACTCACCCGAATTTCCACAGTAATGTATGTGTGTGTATTTCTCGCAGAACCCTTAATTGTTTACGCGCCAAACTTTGGCGAGAGAGCGAGATAGTGAATTCCGTGTGGCGCAAAGACACGGGGAGGAGGATCAGCGAGGGTCACTGAGAACGTACATATATCTCTTGGAGACATTCGCTTCACTCGAGCGGACCAATAGGATGGCTCTCCATGTTGCGGGAGGAGATAGCTTCACTGTCTCTTGTATAAATTTTGAATTCCACTGTATTAGAATCAATTCTAACCTCCCTATTCGCGCTTAGCTAAAATGAACAGAAATCACGATTTTGCGCCCCTCCGAAGTCGGCGCCCGGGGCACGTGCCCCGGTTGCCCCCCCCTAGGAACGCCACTGGTTGGCGCTGCGCCGGGAACGTACCTATGCACGCTACGCATTCCACGGATATTTATTGGGGTTCAGGACGCTCGTCCTTGATATAGCAGAATGATTAAGCGATAATATAACAATATGGGGAGGGTGACAAGTCCCAATCCTGAAATCCGACCTCTCGTGAGTGTTGTGTGCTGATTGGAGATTTGCTGTATGTGTGTGTGAACGTGTGGCAAGTCCGAGGGATACCGCGATGGAGGCTCCGTCCGTGACAGTCCCCCCCGCGAATTTCGGTCGCGGAAGCCGAGCGGAATTCTGTCGTACCAAGGCTGACCCATGGTGCATGGCTGTTGGGGATGAAATGGTTGTTGAATTTCGCGCCGGTGGCGCGAAGCCTGAAGCGCCACCTAGCGACAGTCTCTGCCCTCCGCGCTGCGCGGTCGCAAAATACACCGTCGACCGTTTCACATCAGTTAGGAAAAATGGCAGCAGCTGCCCCCGAAGATCTCGGGTACCGGAGGCATCCGTACGAGAAAACGCCCGTCGGGCTTGTGGAGCAACTTCTACTCGGCGCCGACCTGAAAGGTACGATGTTCGCCCGCCGGGACGTGATCTACGTAGCCCGGTTCTACTGGTTCGACCTGACGCCCGAAGAGCAGGAACCCTTCCGCCGGCTCTCGAAGGCACTTCTGCATCGGGGCCGAAGCGTCTTCGCGCCCTTCCCACCCCGGCCGGAGCTTCCGCGGCGCCTCAGATACCGCCCCCCCCCCCCCACGCTCGCGCAGTGTGCGCCCTATTATCTTCGGCTGCTGCATGACACCGTAACGGGGCAGTCCCATGAAATCACCATTCCTCTGGATGAGGAACCGCGGGCCATTCGTTGGCACCCCCCCAGCGACCTCCAGGAGGTGATGGCCGGAGAAGAGGAGCGCCGCGCTGAGGTCCGCGAGCTCAATCGCTTGCCCGAAGAGGAGTGGCCCGTCTACGAGAGGACGCCGCGTCCCGTCAATCCCGCCACCGGGGATGTAATCCCCCTTCCTCGCCGGCAGCCGGCCCCGCGCCCCGTCAATCCGGTCGCCAGGGATGCAGTCCCTTTAGATCGCCGGCAGCCGGGCCCGCGCCCCATACGCGGGCTCAACGAAGTTTTGCTCAAGCTGCGAGCGGAACGCGAAGGCGGCCGACCCTCGCAGCCATGATGGTGACGAAGACGGTTCAGGACCGGACGATTTTCTTTCGTTGATTTCGGAGAATAAAAAAAAATTCCTTATCGCCATTTGCTGTTTTCTTTTGGGGCTTGGGAGTCGTGAATATATAGATGTTGACATATTGTTTGACTGTTCTCGGAGAGGTCGGCTGGATGCATGACATCAGTGGGACTCGGTCGCCTCTATTGGGTAGAGCTTCTTCATCGGTCGGTCGAAAACTTGACCGGTCGCTGTCTTGATCGTGCAGGATCTCGCTTCCTCTGGTTTCGCGTTACCCTTGAGTGCTATGACCCTGCAGAGAGGCCAGAGGGCCCTGTTGGAATTCGAGTCCTCCAATAGACATATGTCTCCGACTTTCAGTGGCCTGGCCGACAAGGGTTTCCGGTTGTGGGCGCTCCGGAGGTAGCTGAGATATTCATTGTGAAATCTCTTCCAGAACGAGTTTGGAATTTTCTGTTGATGGACCCATCTCCTGGAGAATATGATTTTATCAGCCTCGATGGGTCTCGGTGGTTTCAAGACGTGCTGGGGAAAGAACGTCTTGCTCTTGTACCCGTAGAGCAAATCCGCCGGACTCAGCGCTTCGATCTGATCGGTCTCTGCGGCGATGGCTGTGATCGGGCGTCTGTTAATCATCGCTTCGATGTTACTCAGAATAACTTCCAGATCGCGGAAATGTGGAACCGCTGATCCGAGGACTTTCCTCAGAGGTCTCTTGACCGATTGAACTTGTCGCTCGTAGAAGCCTCCGAACCACGGAGCATGTGGGATGATGAATTCCCATTTGAGGAAGGAATCGGCCAGCCATTTTTTGATGTCTCCGTTCACGATGTGGCTGTATAGGGTTTTTAACTCCTTCGCTGCTCTCTGGAATGAGAGCCCATTATCTGAGGTGATTGTGTAGACCGACGGATAGCGATTGTCGAACTTCTGCAAGGCTCCCAATACCTCGACTGTCGACATATCCGCGGTCAATTGGAGGTTCACGGCTCTCGTCACCGCGCACGTGAATAGGAGGATATAGCCCTTGGCTTTTTCTCCTGAATCTTTCTTATATTTGATCGGACCTGCGAAATCGCATCCTGTGTAAAAGAATGGTGGTGTGGTTTCCAATCGGAACGATGGCGATTGGGCTGTTGGCAGGGATGCTGCCTGGCAGCGGAAAATCTTGCAGATCATGCATGCGGAAATCACTTGTCTTGAGAGTTTTCTCGTATGTAGAATCAGGAAATCCTCCCTCAGAATGTGGAGGGTCGCCGAGACTCCGCCAAAATGCAGGCATTTCCTCTCGTGGATATAACGGATAATTAGTTTCGAGAAGTTGCAGTTTGAGGGTAAAATGATGGGGTTCTTCTGGGCTTCCGAGAAGTCCGGCGAACGTTGTAGCCGGGTTTTTGAGCGCAAGATTCCTTCTTCATCTATAAATGGGTTATATTGGAAGAGTAGGCTTTTGGGTCCGACCCGCTCGCAGTTCGAATCGACTTCCTCTGGGAAATAAGATTTCTGAATGAGTTTGATTAGTTCCAGCCTGGCTGTGTTCATTTCGTCTGGATCAATCAAGTTCAGTTCTGTCTTCGGCCTGGCACTGCATTTGGTTCTCGATCGAACTCTCGACTTCGCCAATTGGGCTTTTGCCTTGAGTCGGAGCATGAATCCCCAGAAGCGGATCGCCTTGAGCCAACACGAAAAGCTGTCCTCGAAGAATATTTTTGGATCGTCTTTCATGCTTTTCGAATGTGCGACGAGCAATGAAGTGACGCTTTTCTTTTGCTCGTATTGAGTTTCCGAATGACTGTCGAGCGGCGCACGTCCGAGAGGCGCGCGCTCGAGTTTCAGATGTGCTTCCAAATCAGCGTCATCCAAACTCAGCCACTGTGGCCCATGAAACCATAGATGTTGAATATTTGGATATGTCGGCACCCCTCGATAGTATATCCGCCGGATTATGCTCCGAACGGACGTAATGCCACTTCGCGTCGATGGTCAACCCGTGGATTTTTCTGATTCTATTAGCCACGAAAGGTTTCCATTTATCTGGGTTCGACGTGATCCATCCAAGGACTGCTGAGTTGTCACAGAACATGTGTACCGCGTCGATTCTGAAGTCTATCCACTCGAGGATTTTCTTCGTCATCCTGGCTGCCAGGAGGGCTCCTAGAAGTTCCAACCGATGGATGGTCGTAGCTTTGATTGGGGCAACTTTGGATTTCGCGAGGAGGAGTGAAATTTCTGGGGTGTTCGCGGGTCGATGTGTTTTGAGGTAGGCTACCATCCCGTATGCGTGAAGGCTTGCGTAGCAAAATGCGAATAATTCTTTCTTGTTCGGGACCTGGCCCGCTAGATTTAGTTGCCGGGCGATGCTCAATTGTCTAGCCTGGCTGAGGAGTTCTTCGAATGCGTAGAATCGGTTCAGGTAGTCGCCTTGTAGGGGATCGTCCCATCCAATCTTTTCTTTCCATAGATCTTGGAAGATTATTTTTGAGCTGATGACGATTGGGCTGATGATGCCCAAAGGATCGAAAACTTGGGCTAATGCTCTGAGCAATTTCCGCTTTGTCGGTGTCCCCGTAGTGAGTTCTTTGATTGCTTTCGAAATCGGGGCTGACAGGCTGTCCGAAACTTGATTCCAGGGTACGCCTAGAATTTTAGCGTCGGCCTGGCCGGATGTTATAGAGAGGTTCTCAAGTGGTGATGCTTGGCGGATGGTTCTCTCCAGTTCCGGGGAATTTGTGGACAACTTGTCCAACGGAAAGTGGGCTTCCGTGAAGATATTTGAGAGGAGGCGAATTCGATGTTTTGCTTCGCAGATGGAGTCCCCTCCTCCGATGACTTCGTCCATATAGAACGTGTCGCGGATCTCTTCGATGAAGGAGGTGTCTCGTGGATATTTCTCCATTGCTGATTCCAAGTGGAATCTGATTCCCTGACAATGCAGAAACGGTGAGCAGATGAGCCCGAAGTCCAGGCGGGTAGCCCAGAATTCTTTGATCTTGGCTGAACCGTTGTTGCTAATGTCGAGGGGCCATAAGAAACGCAGGAAGGTTTTGTCGCTGTCGGCAATTCTGAATTGCAGGAACGCTTTTTCGATGTCTGCCGTGAAGACGAATTTGTACCGTCGGAATTTGAATAGGACTTTCGAAATCTCGGGCAGAAGGTTCATGCCGCAATGAAGTACGTCGTTGAGGCCGGCCTCGTTCGAGCGCCTGGCGCTTGCGTCCTTCACGACGCGCGTCTTCAATCCTGACGGGGTGTCTGGCTTCGCCTTGAAGACCGCCTGAATCGGCAAATAGTGAGCCAGTTGACCGACTTGCTTCGGTTGTGCTTCCTCAGCGAACCCAGCTGCTAGGTATCCTTTGATTTCGTCATCGACTGCCTTCAATTTCGTCGGGTCTTTTTTGAGTTTCTCGATGAAGGAGTGTAGTCTGGATCTCGAGAGATTTTCGTTATCCCCTAAGGCTCGAATGTTCGACTTGAAGGGGAGCCGTAGTACGTAACGACCCTCGAAGTCTCGGACGGTTGTCTTCCGAAAATGCTCGACGAGGGCCCGATTGAGGTTGTCTTCTTCCTGTTTGTCTTCGAACTTGAGGTCGTCGTCGAAACCGACGTTCTCTGACTACCACATGAATTGAAGGTCTCTGAACGTTCGAGCCGCCTTGTTCTTTGCGTTTGTCGTTCCCGCTGAGATTATTTCAGGGGCGAGGAGCCGTCGACACGACTTACGATTCTAATTCGTTTATCCCCTATTGCACTAGGGGGTGTCGATCAGATTGCTGAGCTGCTCGGGTATACATATTCGCCGGTAAGACTCAGTGTTGTCTGATATTTCTGACTTTGTTGCAGACCGCTGATGGTGATGATATGGGCTTGATTTCCGTACCGACTGGAAGGCTGCTTTCCTGAAGGTAGTTGATTCTTGGAGGGTTTCGGCACCAGTTTGTGGTGAACGCCCTCCCACTGACACGGAGTTAAACCGCGAGGGTGAAAACACAAGGTTTGAACTCGTAGAGATCACACGTGGAATGCGCTGCGCACGGTTGAATAGAGAGATGACTGGAGACTCCGAGTTGATCGGAGCTCTCCTGGAGATGACAACGGAAGGGTTGAACTTCCGAATCTCCACGATATCGATTGATAATGGTGATATTGGAATTGGACCCAAAAATACAGGGAAAGACTGTCGAGTCCGCGAGATCGTATCTCCGCGTGACTCTACGTGACGCTAACTGCTGGATTGGCAGTCGACGATAGCACCCTGAAGATGGCTGCCACGTCGCTGCGACCGGAGATCCTGGCAGTCTTCTCTGAAGGAGAACCAGCTGATGCCCTGCCAGCTGAACGAGACGGGTCACCCACGAGCGCCACAAAGACAGCTGAGAATGCTGACGGTTGGCGCTGCGCCGGGAACGTACCTATGCGCGCTACGCATTCCACGGATATTTATTTGGGTTCAGGACGCTCGTCCTTGATTGCACAGAATGATTAAGCGATAATATAACAATATGGGGAGGGTGACAAGTCCCAATCCTGAAATCCGACCTCCCGTTAGTGTTGTGTGCTGATTGGAGATTTGCTGTATGTGTGTGTGAACGTGTGGCAAGTCCGAGGAATACCGCGATGGAGGCTCCGTCCGTGACAGTGAAGAGATATTCGTATCTCGTTGATACCTCGGCCAGAATGATTACACGGAATACTAGAGTCAGTCTTGGGCTCCCCCTTTCTTAACTGGCTGAGGTTTATTGGCCTTATAGCGAGTCATAGAAAAGGGTTGAGCACAGAAGAGCATCCGAATATGGGTCATGCGTGAACGGGTTGAGTGGTGACCGGTCAGTGACCTTTACAGACTGAGGTCCTCAGTATCTAGAGCGAAAGGTGAAACGGACAATATTCATCAGCGGTATTTCGGTAACTAAGACTCAGCCGAAGCGCCAAAAGCAGGAAAGCGAGAAAGACAATCCGACAGAATATCCGGGTATTAGGAACTCAGCATCCTTCACAAACGTTGGGGATCCTCCCGTTGACGGAGTAGGAGCTCGATAAGGCGAAACGGCTCTTGGTCCGTGAGGCACAAATTCGTTGCTTCCGGGGAGTGGTGGAGGCTCACGATGTCAACGAGGATCAGCGGCTCCGGAGCTTCGATCCCCTTTTCGATCCCGATGGCATCATACGTTCAGGTGGGCGACTTCAGTACTTCGGAGGGGACGGGGACCTTCGACATCCTATCATCCTGGGAGGGGATCCATTCACAACGCTTTTGGTGAGGGATATTCATGAGAACAGAGTCGCTCACATGCACACCGTGGTTCTTACTAACCTACATCGAGAATTCTGGGTACTCCAGGACGTCGGGTCGGCAAAAGGGTAATCGGAGGCTGCATCAAATGCAAGCGGTTTTCAGTTGTACCCTCCGAGGCTCCTCAAGCACCTCTGCCGGAAGCGAGAACGGCTTATTGGCTCAGGAAGAATTTAATGTCCACTTATCGATACCTCGGCTAACGAACACACTGGGAAACCGGCGAACGTTCTCCCTGAAGGGGATTCTTTATTCCATCCTCATATAGTGATCCAGTGGAAAGGGTTACATTGTAACAACTGCTCAGGATTCGCTAATTGACCAGATACTGAGGCTTACAGAAGATCACTGACAATGAGCTGTGCGGAAGGGTTGAGAAATCACCCAGGGACGTTACGCTCTGTTGAATTCACTAACTCCAGCCACAGGGATTTCTGGGCGTATACCAGACTGAAACTTCATCATTCCCCCTCGCACGGAAATCCCGAATTCCGGGATAAAGTTAAATCGTTAAATTGGTGAGCCGAGTAATAATTTCGAGTAGGATGCGTTTGAACGAGCGGTGAAACACATCCATGCACCCTGAGATCGTGGATATGCAGATAGACCATCTACACGATGCCGGAGCTTCGAGCCTTGCCTCAAGTCTGAGATCTCGCCCCTCAACATGAGGTCCACTTTGGGGAGACATTTGATCCACTGATAGGGAATTGACTCGAATCTTCGAGAGAGTCCCTCTCTGTTCTTATGAAAGCAGGGGTCCGACCTCAGTCTGCTCCTATTAGCGCCCGAGATGCCGTGAGCTTATCCAGCAACCGAGAGCATCTCCCGAGGGAAGAGGAGACGAACAGAAGGAGCTGGCTTGCGTGGATTGGAGAGATGTCGGAAACCAGAGGAATACTTGGTGGGAAGAGGACCCGTGAGTGTGACGAGGGGCCTCCCCAGTCGAAGAGGGTGAGATTCGAGAGAATCCGCGAGTCCCTGAGGAGGAGGGATCATCTTTTCAAGCGCAAGAACCCACCGCCGAAAAAGAGACCCTTTCGGCCGTCGTTGCGACAGTCAGACCCATCGAGACGTGGAAATGATATCGATCTCTGATGATACGGACGCGTCACTCGACCGGGCTCCGACCGCAAGTCCCCAGGAAGGGCATCGTCGATCATTCATCTCCTGTTCCGTGTGGGGGTATCTGAAGATCGGCCTGACGGTCAGCGGCATCAGTTCCGTTGCCCTAATGATGACTCTGGTCATAGTTAGAGCCAGGGGTTCCAGGCAAAATGCCATAAATGCCTAAAAACGCCTATTCCGGATGTTGGCGCGGTGTTTTGCCTTTTCCCAATCTCTGCCAGGCATTTTGCTTTTTTCGTCAGCCTCATCGATTAATAGAATCTGAGGCGGAAGCCTTTACCCCTAATATCTAACGAAATTATGATTGACTGGATTCGTTCATCGAGCAATGAGAGTTTCCCCCGTCCTCTGCTTGAAGGCTCGCGATATATGCACACCTAGACTCGCCAAGTGCGAACGTGCACCTGCGCAGCTTGTTCGGAATCATCCGTGCTCTCAACAACTGTTCTGTCTTCCCGCTGGCTTATCTGATCCAGATTGGGTTTTCTGTCCTGTGGCTCAATGAATGCAAATCAAGGATGCCTGAAGCAGCTGTTGAGAGACGTGAACTGGAGAAATTCGTTGAGGAGTTCGGATCCGAAGCGTTCACGACAGACGGGAAAGTTCTGACCTGCGAATTTCGCGAAAAAGCAATCAACGCGGAGAAGAAGTACTTCGTGAAACAGCATATGAGCACCGTGATTCACAAGGAACGGGTACGTCGAGCGGCGAACTCCAACCGGAGCATTTGCCTCTTGACCAATTTCGTCGAGCTCTCGAGCAGCGAGAGTTCGTTCAGTATGGATCTTCGCCAGATGATGATTGAAGCCAATATCCCGCTCCACAAAGCACAGGATCAGACCTTTCGAAAACCTCTGCTCCAGTATTGTTCTCAGCAAGTACCAGATCCGAAGACGCTTCGTGGCGACTGCCTTAAGAAGCTATATGATGCAAGGGTTCAAAGGGTACGAGACGCTGTAGGCAACAATCCAATATGGATGTCAGTTGATGAAACCACAGACGCAAAGGGGCAATATGACGTGAACACGATTATAGGTCGCCTCGAAGCCGAGGAAGAAATGACCCGCACTTGATTGGGTCGGAGATTGTAGAGATGACAAATCATGGAGGTATCGCCCAAGCCTTCACGAACGCGTTATCTTTGCTATGGCTTGATGGATTGAAGCACGAGGAGGTTCTCTTGTTCGTCAATGATGCAGCTCTATATGAAGCAGTGTTGGGCATATGTGTATCGACAAATATCGATATCGATATGGGCATATCGATATATCGATGTGTGTCGATGTATCGAGCACCGTCGCACGAGACTGGGCTTGAATACGTGTATGAGGTGGTCCTCGGTACCGTCGATAGTGTTCGAAATCCCGCAAGCCTTGAAGGATTTCTCGATGATCTCTGGAGTCAGTCGCGACCACGAGTCGACGATCCATTTTAGGTTCACGTCCATCGGCGGAGCTCGCATATTACCTTTGGGAGTGAACGATTTTTCCCCATAAAGCAACCAGTCTTCGTACTATTCTTCGATCCTCTGTTTGAAAGGTTTATTCCAACTGACGTCCGGGGCTTGAACGAATTTAGTGCAACCTCCGGGCACAGCAGCGGAATCGACGCGCAGATTTCTTAGCTCATCGCGGGAGTCTTTCGTGAGATGAGCGCGAAACGCATCCCAAACTAGCAGTCTTTTGCTGAATGCAAAACGACCCAGAACCCTGGACAGAAACTCTACTGTCAACTCCTGATTCGTCCAAGTAGTCCCATTCCAACTGAGGACTAGTTTGTCCTTAAACTGGCGTTCGATCTCAGGTATCGGCCTCTTTCTCGGCAAGAGCACGAAGGGGAGGCACTTCATTCCGTTGGCGCGCGCACAGAGCATGACGGTTATCCGCACCTTCTCGTGTCCTGTGGATTGGACAGCAACTTATTTCGCGCCTTTATTCGTGACGCAGGTTCTTCCTGAGGGATCGATCCATACCGCGGTTTCGTTAGCGGCATAGATTTCCGACAGCGGATATCGCTCTTTCGCTCGCAGTTCCCTTATGTACTTAACAAAATCAACCAGAATCGTAGCCAGTTCCGCAGGTGGCTTCTGGCATTGAGTGGTCACTCTTCTCAGAGTTAGATTACTTCTTTGCATGAATTTGTTGAGCCACCCCTCAGTGGCCTTGAAGTCAACGACGCGTAGATTGCCTCTGCTGATTTGTTCTGCTGAGAGTCTTTTAGCTTCCACCATGATTAATCTCCTCGACACCCTTTGGCACCGACGCCGACAACTCTCAATCCATGATTTCACGGCTTCATTCAACTCTTCGCATGTTTCTTTCCGACCGCCTCCAGGGAGACGGCACCTTTTCGCGATACTCTGCTTCAATTCTTCTTCTTGATAACGCCAAGAGCGTATTTGTTTTCTGTCACAGTGGTAGCGAGCAGCAGTTTCTGAAATGGAATGCGTCTTCGCATACTCGACGGCGTCGATCTTTGCCCCTATTGAGAAGCTCTTCCGGTTCTTCACACCAGTTAACGCCACAGGTTCCGGGGAGGATCGATCGCCCATTTTAAGTGAGTGATGACTCCGTAACTTCTAACACCACGCCGGAAACCACTCTGAATAGAACACAATCGAACGCAACCTCCCAGTCGGCGGGAATGTCATTGGCCGAATTGAGAGCGACAAATGTGGGATTGTGAGACGTCAACCAGCGCATCAACGTATATGTTCGGCGGGAAACTTGAATTCATTCGGAATGTAATGGTTTCATCGTTCAATGCGATCGACAGATCGCTCTCCGTATCGTCTGCGTTTTGCATACTCTGATTTCAGGGGGCTTGTATTGGGAAGTGGGCTTGTATTGGAAAGGGGCTTCTATATTTTTGAACCGTCGGAGAGGGGGGGGCTTGTATTGGAGAGGGGCTACTAATAGGTAGTGGGCTTTCATTGGGTATTTTACGGTAGTTCCTTGAAGCCTCCATCCTGAGGGATGAGCCCGACCAGCTCACAGGCGAGCGAAAGAGTGACGGAGCGAAGGTTTAGATCAGGTCACGCTTGTGAGCCCTTTGGGGATATTGCGCCAACCTTTATGGAAGGTGAGTAATCCGTCGAAGGCGACCGAGGGAGAAGAGCTCTCGGAATCCTCTCTCTCGAGTCGCCTTTGACCGAAAGATTGTGAGTTTGTCCGCTGGAGACCGCCTACGGAAGCGGTTTCTTCCTCGCTAAATCTATTTCCGAACCTTTCAAGGAGAACATGGCCGAAAAGATTTGGAAGACGCCGAATCTCAAGAAGTTCTCGTCGCCGCACTTTTGCCATGCTACACCCACGCGCTCAGCGCCATCGGGGTCCGCGGTTCTTTTGTTGCTTTGGTTGGTGGCCTCGTGATATGCGCGCAAGGGAGACGAGCTCCACTCGCTTGTTTTTTCTGTGTACTTGGCGTTCCCGGTGGATTGCATCCCCGAGAGGATGAGCTGAGCGCAGCGAGAGTAGCCATGTCCCTCAGCTCAAAGGTTTCGAGAGTTGAGGTAGCGTCTCGTGCGGTAATGTATATTCCTCCGCTTCCGGCAACGTTGACTCACCTGCAAGGGAAGAAATATCTGTTAGCCACAGCGTATCGAGCCGCGATTCGGGCTAATTCAGCGATCCTGGACTCTGCCGAATACATGCCAAAGATGTTTACGGGTCAAAATAGAAGCTTCGGTAGATTTGTCGCAATTGAAGCTTCGTCGGATACCTTTCTACGCGGGAGCGAGATACTCTAAAGATTATGTCGAAAGATCAGAGTTCCGGTTCCATCTCTCCCGTCGGTACCAACATGATGACCACGATCACGACGACCCGCCGTCTGGGAGAGAAACTGTATATTTTCGAGGAGGCCCGACTGATGTGGCTGAGCGAAAGGTGTGAGAGGTGAAGCCCGAGAGAAAATGCTGGAAGAAGACAGATTCTACTCAAACCCCCGGAACGAGTGCTATTCGAGATACTCGGAGGCCCGCTGCCGAGCAGGCGCCTGCCCATCGACTAGTGAATTCCGGCGTTCAAGATTGAGAGGAGGTCTGAACCCTACCCGCTGAAATGCTCCCCAAAGAATTGAGCCTCCGTTTTTTTTCTCTGACAAAGTTTGATTTATTGAATTCGAGCTGATCCGATGAACAATGCGGCCATCACGCTGGGGCTAAGAGCCTGTGTATTCTATTCCTCATCTGCGTATTGATCGTCCTCATCGTCTGAGGCCAACATATCATCTATGTTGGGATTGTCACATTCTTCCAACTCGCGCAAAAACTCCTCCACTCCCGGAGTCACGATCTCCTTGAAGACGATGCGCAAACCTCTCGCCGGAGCCGGTCTGAGATCTGGTTCCGATGGCTCCGGAATCGAAGCTTCCGCGAGGGGGACGTTGGTGCAAGCATTTTCGGTGATGATTTCCTCCGGCTCACTCGAAGTCGGAAGGTCTTTTTCCTCGATGATATCTCCGTTCAATCGATGGAATTGATTGAAGTCCGCGAATAATCTCTCCAAGAAAGCGATGAAGTTGTCGGCATACGGCCTACTCACACCGTAGGCATCTGAGGAGGAGTAGACACGTCCTCTGTTCTCTTCGGAAAGATCGAGGTAGAAATGCAGATACTTGCATCCCACCTGAACTTTGGCTATGAACCAATACGACTTCACTGCGGCACCTGCGGCGTCCGTCAGTCCGCAGAGATTCTCGTAGTTTCGTTGCAAGGCCACCAGATGATCGGCGTCTGATTCGCCCTTGCGGCGACGATATCGGGATCCGCACACTTCGAAATGCGGGAGGCGTACGCCCCCGAAGATGTTCAGGAATCCCCCTATCCCCCTATATAATAAAAGCGCTATGTCTGTCTGACACCGGACCATTTTTTAGCGCTCTCCACCTACGAACGGACCCCTTCACCCGATCGATGCACAATCACTCCAGTGAGGTCGAGTTATACTTTTCTAACTGCTTAACCGCATGTTTTTCGTGTTCCTCCAGTAATCGTTATTTTTCACAAAATGCAAAGCCGCTTCTATGATGTCATCAGTACTCATCATCTATTGCTTGCATACCCTTCCCCTTGGACAACGAAAAGCAACACTCGATCCTCTTGAGGCTGTGGGGGCGCGAAGCGCCCTCACGGCTAGTAATCCATATTCCACGGGGGATGAATTGATGTCTATTTCCTCCATAGGGAACAAAGCCAGATACCGCAGGGCCGTCTGGATTGACTCGTCGTCGAGAGGAATCCCGGTCTCCACAGTTGCTGCTCCGTGACTCCTCACGAAGTCGTCAACGGATTCACGGAGTTTCCTCTCAAGATCCCGAGCTCCTCCCGCACCGTGAGCGTGACCCTGTGCTGACTCCATATTCCTCGAAATCGCTATTTCTTCGGAGGGGTGGGATCGGCGCAGCTTGATGACGATTGTGATGGATCTCCAGAGAAAGCGGTGCGCTTTCTCCTCAAGTTCCCGGTCGGCCGCTGATCCCGATGACTGATAGAACGTGTATTCGTTCCGCAATGCAGAACTCAAATGGCAAGGAATTGTCGAAATTGAATTTCGTGTCGAGTGGTAGGTCGGTCAGAGGATCCTTCCTCTGGGGAGCTCTTGAGTTTTAGGCTTGTTTGTCTGCTGGACTCTCTTGTCCTGCTGTCGGTCCCGGAAGCAGGAGCCTCGAACAGAACATCCGGAGAAAGTAGGTTCTCAGGGAAGAGCGCACGCTTCAACGAAAGCAGAGTTACGCAAACTGAACACCTTTTGTGTAGCACACCGACTTTATGTAGAACCTTTTTTTTTACTGGTCCACAAAATTTTGTTACACAAAGAAATATACATGACTTCTCGATTCACGATGCACGCCACTGAATGGCTTCTCGAGGAGTATGGATCGAAGTTCATAGTCCTCGAGATACGCCTCTCGCTGTTGACATCCCTCGATGCCCTGTTGCGACTTTCTCGAGATGTGGATCAGATTCTCATCATTGCCATCGAGTCAATCTTCCGGGCATTCTTCAGGTCTGCGGCACAGCGCCCGTCCTTTTGAGATATAACACGACTTTGATGTAACTACGGGCGGATTGGTCTGACGAGCCTCACTCCTAGCTCAAGCTCTCACCGGTGACTGCAAGCGGGGTTGCATGTTTTCGAAAGTTTTTCGCACGCACATCTCCCACGCATCGAGGAGCTCCGTCACCGTAAACCGGGGAGGCATCTCGGCCATACGGGCCTTCAGAGCCTCGAGCAGAGAAAGGTGGAATTCCGAGCTTCTGTATAGAGTTTGGTCGGTCAGACACGAAGGTGCGCTCTGTGGATAATTTTCTGGGACAGCGACAGTCACCGCAGGCACACTCGGCAGGGTGTTGATATCTAGTTGGCAGAAGAGTTTGATGGATTTGTCGTCAAGTGGCTGAACCAGGCTAGCCTTGAATTGAGGATCTAATTGCAAAATCTCAATTGCGAGAAGTTCGGGCAGTTCACACGTCCCGTCTGCGGCAGGGGAAGTGCACCTCCTCATTTTCGCGGGGGGCGATGAAGGTTCAGAGTCCGAATACTCGGACGGAAGCATAACAGCGATCGGCCGGCCGAATACTTCCTGCAGCGTATGATTGAACATCGGGCTCTTGATGTTGGCGTTGATAGCGTCGAGCAGCGGTTGCCACAAGCCATCGTCCTGAGACCGCATCATCGATGTGAGCGACGGTATATGATACTTCGGGGCCTGACCGGGTTCGCACATCCTGAAGTCGAGATGCTCACAGACCTGCTGGCATTTGATGAGGGTATCGATAGAGTACCGCCGATCCGGATTTGTCAGAACTTCGAGGAGCGAATTCAGTTTCCAGAGATAATCCTTGTTCCTTTCGTCTTTTTCGGCTATCGAGATCAATTTCTTCACGGGTTCGACATACTGACTCAGACACTCGAGCCTCTCCGAACGTTCTTGATCCTCGGCACTGCATGTTGCCGGGGTACCGCCGGCGGTTCGGTCTCCCCCACCACCAAAACGTGGGTCGCCTGCGCTTTGGTTACCTCCACCACCGACACGGGGATCGCCGGCGGTTCGGTCATCCCCGCCAACGACAGGGGAATCGCCGGCGGTTCGGTCATCTCCACCACCGACAGGGGGATCGCTCGCTGGTGCTTCTTCGGACTCGATAGGCGCGATAGGAGGAGATACGAGCGGAGGGGCGCCATTTTGCCCCTGTGTCGAGCCGTTTTCTTTCGCGGACTCGCCTACCGATGATGGCGCAGTGCCGCGCAGTCGGTAATGGGCGTAAGACATGCTCTTCGGAGTCTTTCTGTACGAGACGGCGTGTTCCGGATAAGTTGGGACCGCTCCTCGGGTGGGGATAGCGACTGAGCACGGCCGGAAAGGCATACGCATTGGAAAGCACGATAGTTGTTGTTCCGGGGTTCGCAATAGGGGCGGCAGAGGACGCTCATCTCGTGGAGTCGCGGAGGGGGCAGGCTGGCTCATCGGCTGGGCCTGATGTCTCGGGGCCCGCAATAGTGGCGGCAGAGGACGCTCATTTCGTGGAACTGCGAAGAGAGGAGGCTGGCTCATCGGCTGGGCCGGCACGGGACCCCAAGGACGCTGAGTCCACACAATGTGTTGCGTGGGTCGCTGGACGGCCGTAGGCCTCAGAGCCCCTCGACTCGCAGGGAGCGGATCCTGGCTGAGATCCTTGGGGCGCAGCTGCTGACCGTAAATTAGGTGTGGAGCCAGCAAGGGACCATTCCCTCGCATAGTGGCTAGCTTCTCTGCCGCTTGCCTCAGATCACCTGACTTTCGGATGTGATTTAGGAACTCGGAGAGAAGGTCGTAATATTCTTCTTTTGTTCGGGATCTGCAAAATGCTTGAGCTTCGATCTCGATCGCACACAGCGTGAGAGGGGTCGGCTTCCCAGTCAGAGCCTCTTGCGTTCTCATACAGATGACGTGCCGGGCGGCGGTGGACGTCCAGCAGTTGTCTGGCAGAACTCCGGAAGCGTGCATTTTTACGATCTGCTGGGCCGAAGGTGTCTCCACAATCCCTCTGCTTGTTTTTCTCACGGCTGAGCGTGTGGTCACGATACTGTAATATTGAGCGTAAGACGAGGGATTCTGGGCTGGCAAGTACGCAAGTCGATCAGGAGGAGTTGACTTAGAGCAAACGACCTAAGATCTCGGGCACCGGGACAGCGAATGAAGTCTGGGTTCGCGAGACTGTGCTTAAATACTGATACTCGAGAGTGTTTCAATGCGGAATCCGGCTTCGGAACTTGGGTGAGGAGAATTCTTTCGCCCCCACCCCTCCGATCAATTAAGCCCATGGGTCTTCTCGAGACGCGAGAACTTCGAGCGCGCCACCCCTCAGGAATTCGTGGGTCGTATTCCGAAATCCCGTCCCCCAGCTTGATTGGTGAAGAACTTCTCACTCAGCCCCTTCTCAGTTCTATCGATCGGAATTTTAAACAGTCTGTCCTTGAGATCTGCGCTGCGTGGTTCTGTTCGCGAAAAACGAAATATCAATCTTGGATTCACCCGAGTTTCTCGGATTATCGAAATTCGTCTAAATGAAGTCCGTGACGGTGCCGTTATCAGAATGCCATTCTCACGGGAATGCAGAATCACCTCTCGATGTGCGGTTTTGTCGTCTGCTAGCCAGCAGGGCAAGACGTTCAAACCAGTGCTCCGCGGTAAAAGTGACAAAAACCCCTGCTGCCCCTTGAAACACCAGGCGAAACTCAGCCTACAGAGCGAGGAGAACTCCAGGATGTCGATCAGCCGCGTAAACGTCAGGAAAACCCCCGACTTCGAGCTGGAGGCCCCAAACCCACAACGAAGGACGCCGCTCTGTGCGAGCTGCGGAGAATCGCTATACGACACTTCCCGCATCGCATGTTCGACTTGCACAGATTGGACTCACGCCCGCAAGGCCTGCTCAGGCCTGAGCACGGCCGAAGCGAGACGGGAGATCATGATCGTCAACTTCAAGTGCGCACGGTGCACCACTCTGGGTGAACTGAAAGAAACCGAACCCATGGAGGAGGGCACGACGACCCAGGCCACCCTGATTCTGATTCTCAGTGAGCTCAGGGACTGTAAGTCCAAAATCGTCAACCTTCAAGAAGACAACCGTCTCCTGCGAAAAGAAAATGCAGAAATCCGAATCACGCTGACCCAGCTGCGAACGAAAACCGCTCCACCCCCTACAAAGCACGAATCACGCGGGAGAAGCCGGCAGCGTAAACAGACCGAGAGCGAGACCCATGCGCGCGCACCACAGCGACCGCGCTCTATCCTACGGAACAGCCCGACGGCTCAGCCTCCGTCGAATAGGAAAGAACCTCGAACGAAAACAAAAACATCGAACAAGCACCGTCCATCGGAGGGACTCGTCGTGAGCGAGGCTTCCTATGCGAACGAGGATGCCAAGAAGAAGCTAGAACGAGCTCTCCCGGTTGCGAAAGTCAAATACTGCACCCGCAAGCTGATCGTGACGCTGTACAACTCGGCCGCAACCGCCGAGAACGTGCTGAACCATCTGAAGAGCAACCAGTGCACGGCCGACAGGGTGATCCGGATCAAGACAAAAACAAAAACCGACAGCTACAGGTGTTTTGTGATCCAGTGCAGTGACCTCGACTTCGAAGAAATCCACAACAACGAACAACTGTGGCATCCAGGTACTCGGGTCGGGATCGCTCGGAAAGACATATGCGATGACCAAATCATTGAAACAGCTGGCAAGCCCAGCTGACTCCGCACAGCATCCCATCACCCGACCCAAACCGAAGATCGACCCAGACCGGAAGAACGAACTCAAGACCCCCGGACCGGACCCACAACGCAAGTACTGAGTTGGAACGTCGAAGGCCTACTCGGTTTCATGAAGAAGGACAGCGACTTCGACTTCAGTCCATACAGCGTAGTCATGCTGACAGAAACATTCCTGGCAAGCGAACCAGACAACCAAATAGTACCGAACTTCAAAGGATACTATTCAGAAGCCCAACGAACCAAGGGAAGACCGAGCGGAGGCCTTGCGATCCTGGTATCACCACTCATCCCAGACACGAAAATTGTGTTCAAAGACGAACACATTCTCGGAGTCGCAAACGCAACTCAACAGACAACCTACCTCGTAGCCTACTTCACCCCAAACAACCCAGTGGCAGACATCATAGCTGATACCCACAAGGCAAGGATGGCGGTTGCCACCAAGACGACGATTCTCTATGGCGACTTCAATTGCCGCCTAGACTCCCACGACCCCCCAGGACACCAGAGCATCAGACCTCATCGAAGCTCTGCTCCTCATCGATTTGCATCTCCTCAACGACGCACAAACAATGACGTACCACGCTCACAACGGGCAGAGCGCAATCGACCTGATGTTCGTATCAGAAAACCTCACCAGCCGCGCAGATCTGAAAGTGCTACCCACCATCGACAGAAAACACCAACGTCTGTCCCTGCGTGTCACTCTCTCCAACCCAGGCACAAAACTCACCGGAAATCGACCGGGCCCACCACTGAGAAGGATCAGAGAGTGCGACCTCAATAAACATATCCCGGCCATCTCCCAACTCCCCGAGCACACACTCGATGAGACTTACCAACAATTCCTGACGCTCATCGAGAAATCCACCCACGTGCAACCACTCAAAAAGCGAAAGAACAAGCCCTGGTTCGACAGCGAATGCCGGTCGCTGAAACAACTCTCGCTGAGCAAGATAGGGACGGCTGAGTACGCGACCACCCGAAGAACCTACAAAGACCGCCATCAAAGAGAAGCGGATCGAACACGAACTGAAGGAGTTCGAACGGAAGGTCAGCGTCAGCAAACGAAACCCTGGATTCTGCTCCCACAGAGAAAAACGACCGTGCCTACCGAAGGTCGACATCCCGACTTTTGAGGAATACTACGGAAACCTGTACCTATCGACAGAAGCCGCCCCGACATTTGGACCCGCCCGGCAACACCCCGGAGGACCCGAAGACTGGTACAACGATTATATAACCAACGACGAGGTGACCGAAACCCTGAGAAGAATGAAAAGACACAAGGCAGTCGGACCAGACCGGGTCGCAATCGACATTCTAAAAGACCATGAAATCCTGACACCGCTGGTCACCAGAATGTTCAACTCAGCCCTCAACTCCGGCACAATCCCAAGCGCTTGGCGTACCGCCCACGTCAAACCGATCTTCAAAGGCAAGAGCTCCCCAGAGGACCCAAGCAACTACAGATGCATTAGCCTCGCTTCGCACACCTACAAAGCATTCACCAACACGCTAGCAAACCGCCTCACGCTCCATTGTCTACCGAAGATCTCAGATAACCAATATGGATTCCTCCCCCACCGATCCTGCGATCAAGCAATCCAGTCCCTCATAGAATACATCGACTCGAATGAAATTCCCACCTACGCTGTGTTCATCGACTTCAAAGCAGCTTTCGACAACGTCAACAGAACGAAACTCCTACAAGCTGTGGCGGAAAAATTCGACATCAGGGGGAAGATTCTCAACACGTTCCGGTCCATACTCCAACCGAACAAACTCATCATCGACAGCGGAACCGATCTCAGCGACCCGGTCACTCAGTACAAGGGTGTGGCCCAGGGCGACTCGATCTCCCCGCTGTTTTTCGTTCTATTTATCAACAGCTTGCTCACAAGACTCGAGAGGAGACAGGTCCTCGCGAAAATGTACGCTGATGACCTCGTCATTGCGTCGAGCAACGCAGAAGAGCTGCAGAGAGCACTGTCTTCCCTCTCAATTTGGTGCGAAGAGAACGAGATGATCATCAACACGGGAAAAACCAAAGCAATGAAATTCCGAAAAGCAGGTGCGACAGGGAACACCAAACTGTACATAAACAGAACCCCGATACAGCTCGTACAAAGCTTCAAATACCTCGGAATAACGATGCAACCAGCGCTGGGTTTCAGTGACCACGCAGACCAATTGCTCACGCGCACCGCAACGACCATCGTCTGCCTTGGAAATCTCCAAAAACTTCCACTGACGCTGGCCTTGAAAATCTTCCAAATCAAAATCATGCCAACCATCCGGTATGGGTTCAACTGCATATCCACCAAACTCGCCAGAACCAACCTAGAAAAACTGGACAAATGCAAACTACTATACCTCAAATCGGCTCTCGGGTTAAGCAAATACACATCGAACACCTTCGTGCTCACCCTGACGAAAGAGAAAACCCTGTGCGAGGACCTCGAAGAGCTGGGTTACAAATTCGACGAGACAGTGTGGAAGGAGTACAAGGAAAACCTCGATCGCAAAAATGCCGAGTTCAACATCCAAGTCTACTCAGAGGGGCCGGCGTTCCGCGCGGAAGGATGGAAACTCGCGAACCGGAGCAGCCGTGCCGCCATCTGCCGAATAACCTATCACGGATACCACCACAAATTCTGCACGAGAAAAGACTTCTTCGTGAATTGTGATAATCTATGTACATGTAAATACTGTGGTGAAGCGGGAATCAATCGACTTCACATCTTAAAGTGTATATATTTCGAAAACCGAACGATCACGGAGATCGTCAGAGAGATCACCAAAACTGCGTAAAACGCGAATAAATATCTTTGAATTGATGCGCGGCCTCCCCGCGGCAGGTTGGAATGGTTAGACGCTCAATGAATGGATAGATATAAGTAAATTGGAATCAGGGCTCGGATCACAGAGTTGGAATAATACCGAAAGGAGCCCATCATCTTGCCTCATGAGGCGACACAGGCCCGCTCGTAGGGCATAAGGACGAAGGCAGGCATGCACTACATTATTCAGTATGTGGCACTGACTGAAGTGCTCCCCAATGGAGAGACTGATGAATCACTAGGAAGACACTGAGTCAGCACGCACTTGGGGGGAACTTGAACTCGATAGCGGGGCGTGACCCAGACCTCTCTTTTCGCAAACCGGATCAGAGATTTGGATCCTGAGTCTTGAGAAATATCGAGAGCGCTGAGCGTGATCAGGGCGCTACCGATATCGAGGTTGCTACTGGCGTCTGACGTCACAGTTCCGGCCACCGACAGTTCCGCTGACAGTCAGCTGTTGGAGAGACTGTCGCGCCCTCCGTGGCCAGAGAGCTGCCAATCAATCGCTACTGATACGCGCCGCCGCAGACGGCGCGAATCCCCAAACGTGCTGCCGGCTCTGGGCCTCATTTATTCATCTCTGATTGAGACTATCCAACTCAGGAAATAATAATAACATAATGAATACTGCTTATCAAATATACCAAGGGAAGAAGGAGGGGGGCAATCCCTTGGATTGAGTAGACGGTTAGATTACCCCTCGATGACTACTTGGTCTCTCTCTGGGAGTGTGAAAAGAGGTATGGTGTAAACGGATTAGTGTTGTTAGGCAAATGAATGAGTGGTGATGACGCAACGGAGCTGGTCCTGTTGGTGAAAGTCTTCCGCCGAATTGTCAGAGTGGGGTCAGACGATTCTGGAAACATTCCCGCGCATCACTCCAAATTCCGCCCCGCCCTCTGGTGGCCGGTTGACTCCGATGTCTCCGCGCGCTCTGCGTTTCACTAACTCCCCATCTTCCCTGGGACGAACGTCAAGTAAAAAACTTCCAACGAATGGCTTCCCCGACCGCGCAGCGCGATGACACCGCAAGAAAGACCCGTGCGCCCAAGCGACCAGCAACAGCCGGGGAAAGAGATGACTCTGCATAATGTAAATGTAATAAAGAGCTGAGGATTCGTTGTTGGTATTTCCATCTCCTAGAGAATGTGAATTTATCTGTATCCGAGGCCTTGTTTGGCTTCGACGAATGTTCCGGAATGACCGTTCTCCCTCTATACCCGAGGAGCAGATCGGCTGGCGAAAGTGCTTCAATTTCATCTGCTCCTGAAGCCACCGTGGTTATTGGTCGGCTGTTTACCATTGCTTCGATTCCGCTGAGGATTATCTCCAAGTCTCTGAAGTGAGGGACTGCGGATCCTAGGATCTTCCGAAGCGGTCTATTGATGGTCCGGACCTGTCTTTCGTAGAAGGCTCCGAAGTCCGGTGCCATTGGCACGATAAATTTCCAGCTGATCATCAAGTCTGAGATGTGTTTTTTTAATTCTCCGTTCTTGACGTTCTCGTATATCAGCTTTAGTTCTTCGGAGGCTCTCTGGAAGGAGAGTCCATTGTCTGAGATTATCAACCTCACAGAGGGAAACCGGTTGATTAACTTCTGCAGAGCTCCTAGGACCTCGACTGTCGATGGATCTGTTGTTAATTCTAGGTGTACCGCTCTGGTAACCGCGCAGGTGAAAGGGATAATGTATCCTTTTCCGATTCCGACGGTTTTTTTCTGCATCTGATCGATCCCGTGGAATCGCACCCTGATGAGTGATGGAATGGTGGTGCCTTCTCAACTCGGAATACTGGTAAGCGGGGTGTCGGCAGACTTGCTGCTTCGGCGTGGGAAATCTTGCATATTGCACATGCTTTCACGACTTGACGTGCGATTTTTCTCGTGTGGATGACCAGATAATCTTGTCGTAGGTGTTCCTCGTCCAGAGATAAGTACCTCAAATCGCTCACGTTGTCCCGTAAGGAGGCATTGCTGCTTGCCCGACACAGGTTTAGCAGATCTTCGAGATTGATCAATGAATAGGCTTCAACCACTGGAAAAGTGGCAGGATCTTCGAGGGCTCCCAATCTATGGCTGGGGCAAGTACGACTCCCTCTAGGCACAAAAATGCGGGCTTCGTTGAAAATCCTGGATCGTCCTGCAGCGGTCACGACACGAAGTTGAGTCTGAGCCGGACAAGCTAAGCAGCGTCTATGAGAAGAAATAGCTCTAGGTATACCGAGCTCCGTGAGAAGAAATATCTGTTAGCCACAGTGTATCGAGCCGCGATTCGGGCTAATTCAGCGATCCTGGACTCGGCCGAGCACATGCCAAAGATGTTTACAGGTCAAAATAGAAGCTTCGGTAGATTTTTCGCAATTGAAGCTTCGTCGGATACCTTTCTACGCGGGGGCGAGATACCCTAAAGATTATGTCGATAGATCAGAGTTCCGGTTCCATCTCTCCCGTCGGTACCAACATGATGACCACGATCACAACGACCCGCCGTCTAAGAGAGAAACAGTCTATTTTCGAAAAGGCCCGACTGATGTGGCTGAGCGAAAGGTGCGAAAGGCGAGACCCGAGAGAAAATGCTGGAAGAAGACAGATTCTACTCAAACCTCCGGAACGAGTGCTATTCGAGATACTCGGAAGCCCGCTGCCGAGCAGGCGTCTGCCAATCGACTAGTGAGTTCCGGCGTTCAAGATTCAGAGGGGGTCTGAACCCTACCCGCAGAAATGCTCCCCAAAGAATTGAGCCTCCGTTTTTTTTCTCTGATAAAATTTGATTTATTGAATTCGAGCTGATCCGATGAACAATGCGGCCATCACGCTGGGGCTCAGAGCCTGTGTATTCTATTCCTCATCTGCGTATTGATCGTCCTCATCGTCTGAGGCCAACATGTCATCTATGTTTGGATTGTCACATTCTTCCAACTCGCGCAAAAACTCCTCCTCTCCCGGATCCACGAACTCCTTGAAGACGATGCGCAAACCTCTGGCCGGAGCCGGTCTGAGATCTAGTTCCGATGGCTCCGGAATCGACGCTTCCGCAAGGGAAACGTTGGTGCAGGCATTTTCGGTGATGATTTCCTCCGGCTCACTCGGGGTCGGAAGGTCTTTTCTCTCGATGATATCTCCGTTCAATCGATGGAATTGATTGAAGTCCGCGAAGAATCTCTCCAAGAAAGCGATAAAGTTGTCGGCATACGGCCTACTCAAACCGTAGGTATCTGAGGAGTAGACACGTCCTCTGTTCTCTTCGGAAAGATCGAGGTAGAAATGCAGATACTTGCATCCCACCTGAACTTTGGCTATGAACCAATACGACTTCACAGCGGCACCTGCGGCGTCCGTCAGTCCGCAGAGGTTCTCGTAGTTTCGTTGCAAGGCCACCAGATGATCGGCGTCTGATTCGCCCTTGCGGCGACGATATCGGGATCCGCACACTTCGAAATGCGGGAGGCGTACGCCCCCGTAGATGTTCAGGAATAATTTGTATTCCACGGGGAAGGAATTGATGTCTATTTCCTCCATAGGGAACAGAGCCAGATACCGCAGGGCCATCTGGATTGACTCGTCGTCGAGGGGAATCCCGGTCTCCACAGATGCTGCTTCGTGACTCCTCACGAAGTCGTCAACGGTTTCACGGAGTTTCCTCTCAAGATCCCGAGCTCCTCCCGCACCGTGAGCGTGACCCTGTGCTGACTCCATATTCCACGAAATCGCCATTTCTTCGGAGAGGTGGGATCGGCGCAGCTTGATGACGATTGTGATGGATCTCCAGAGAAAGCGGTGCGCTCTCTTCGTATGTCGGCTTCTGGTCGGCCGCTGAATCCGATGACTGATAGAACGTGTATTCGTTCCGGTTCCGCAATGCAGAACTCAAATGGCAAGGAATTGTCGCAATTGAATTTCGTGTCGAGCGGTAGGTCGGTCAGAGGATCCTTCCTCAGGGGGGCTCTTGAGTATAAGGCTCGTTTGTCTGCTGGACTCTATTGTCCTGCTGTCGGTCCCGGAAGCAGGAGCCTCGAACAGAACATCCGGAGAAAATACGTTCTCAGGGAAGAGCGCACGCTTCAACGACAGCAGAGTTACGCAAACTGAACACCCTTTGTGTAGCACACCGACTTTATGTAGAACCTCCGAGTTGACTTAGAGCGAACGACCTTAGATCTCGAGCACCGGGACAGCGAATGAAGTCTGGGTTTGCGAGACTGTGCTTAAATACTGATACTCGGGAGTGTTTCAATGCGGAATCCGGCTTCGGAACTTGGGTGAGGAGAATTCTTTCGCCCCCACCCCTCCGATCAATTAAGCCCATGGGTCTTCTCGAGACGCGAGAACTTCGAGCGCGCCACCCCTCAGGAATTCGTGGGTCGTATTCCGAAATCTCGTCCCCCAGCTTGATTGGTGAAGAACTTCTCACTCAGCCCCTTCTCAGTTCTATCGATCGGAACTTCATACAGTCTGTCTTTGAGATCTGCGCTGCGTGGTTCTGTTCGCGAAAAACGAAATATCGATCTTGGATTACCCGAATTTCTCGGATTATCGAAATTCGTCTAAATTAAATCCGCGACGGCGCCGTTATCAGAATGCCATTCTCACGGGAATGCAGAATCACCTCTCGATGCGCGGCCTCCCCCGCGGCAGGTTGGAATGTCAGCTTCTGGAGAGACTGTCGCGCCCTCCGTGGCCAGAAAGCTGCCCCGAGAAGAGTTCGCTACTGATACGCGCCGCCGCTGCAAGCGAATCCTCAAACGTGCTGCCGGCTCTGGGCCTCATTTATCCATCTCTGATTGAGATTATCCAACTCGGGAAATACTAATAACATAATGAATACTGGTTATCGAGTATATCAAGGGGAGAAGGAGGAGCAATGCTTTGGATTGAGCATAAGGTTAGATTGCCTCTCGATGACTTCTTGGTCTCTCTCTGGGAGTGTGAAATGAGGTATGGTGATGACGCGACGGACCTGGTCCTGTTAG